CCCTCAAAACTTAGAAGGCAAAAAGGCTTAAACTAAGATGATAAACATGGTAAACTTTATAACTGCTAAACATAAACATGTAGGCATGTTAGTATTCAGCTCCGAGCCCTGCTGTGTCTCTCTGATGATGTTGAGCAGACGGGTTTCAAAGGAAATATTTCTGGGTGATGAAAGGGTTCTTGAACACTTTGTGATCTCTTTAAAACCACCCAGTGTATATTTAAAAGTGTGTGAATATCAAGAAGAAAATCAGAGTTCACTTCCTAAAAAGGGACTTTAGAGAAGTGTTTGACTGGTTGAAATGTTTTCAATTACGTATTTTCTATGTCTTCTTTTGTTTACCAGTAAAATAAAAGAGGAACAGAAAGCTTCCTACACAGAATTCTGGAGAATCTGTGCAAGAGGAACCAGCCATACTCTGCATACATTGACTTCCTTCATGCTACTTCTTATAAAAACTTGAATTTGTTTTGCTGCATTGTCACTTGGGCTGACCTTGTTTACTTGCTTTGGCTCCATGTAAGGATCGAATATATTCATGTCAAGATTTTGTTTTGCAAAAGATCCTCAAAACACCAACACACAGTTCTCAAGATACAGCCATAGTTAATGTTCTTAGACATAGTTTAAGTTTCAAGAGGTCAAAGAACTAGGCTTTAGCTCTCTTCTAAATAAACATTGTTATAAATGAAACACTAAAGCACCTGCACTACTTCTTAAAAGTAATGGTCCTGGAAACAGAACACTGTGAGGGGGGTTTCTGTAACACCTCGACCACGTCACATGACATTATAGACTGTCTACTGAACAGCATCCTCGCCCTCTGTAGAACAAGAGTGCTTTGTTTTGTCCTCCCGTCTCTTTGGAGGCAAGTCCAGGCTCAGTTTGTGGACCAACAGGAACACAGCTGTTGGCCCCCTGATCAAAGCAGACTGGGGCCTGAGCACTGTCAGTCCCAGTGTTCAGCAGAGCCATTCTGTTTGGGATTATCACACCTGTGGTTCAGGGATTAATCCCAGCAGAGACATGGGAACCAGGGACAAGGGGGCTCCAAAGGTCCAGTGTAGAAAGGGAGGAGGGGTGCACTGACTAAGTGCATCTCAGGACCTTTCCCCCATGAGCCCCAGTTACATTTGTGGGCCATCATGTTGGAAAGGTGGGAAGCAGGTAGCCTAAGTATCACGGTACTGGCAATGAATCATACCCATATGATGTGGCTGTGGTTTGGCAGAAATAAATCAGTGACTTTTTGTAGCCTGACATTGTGATACAGACTCAAAATATCATAAAACTCAAATGTATGCAGCTGTCTGACCTAATCGGGATTTAATAGAGGCCTTATCTTGTGAAACAGTTTTCCCACTTATTTGTTCCTTCAGAAGGAAAGTTCCGGTTTGCTAATGATAACAAGACATTTTCATTTACACTCAGTAAGCCAGATCACAGATCTGATTCCAGTCCGTCTTGGTTTCTCCAGCTTTATGTAAATCAGGATTGGCTCTTCTCCAGTCCAGACGCTGCTAGTGATGCACATGAAGCTGTTTGGTAACTGCCAAAAATCCCAAAAGCATAATAACTTTTATATAACAAACTATCAGACAAAGTGAGAGTATCACCTGATGATGGCGATGGATGAAAAGTCAAAGGAAGGTTATTACAGTATATCTTGTGGGGACTGCAAATATTTGAACATAATTATGAGGCAATCCATCCCATACTTGTCAAGATATTTCAGTCTGGGAGCAGAGGACAAAGTCTGGCTGGTGCAACAGGATTTGTATTGGGGCTGGGTAATAAATAAGATTTTGGTTATTGTGTGGTATTGTGTACAATGCAAATAGATCGTTGATGCCTGTCAAACAAAGTGTAACATTAAGTGCAATAAGTCAGGAATGAGGGAAAAACCAATAAGATACTCTGGACAAAGACAATGACATATATAATGTAGCATTATTTTCCCGTAAAAAAACAGTATTTATTCAAGTCATGGATCATGAAAAGGAATATAATTGTTATAAAAGCTGTTGTGACATATCATAGTAAAACAGAAATGACACCCAAAATCATACTTCTCCTCTTCAACAGTTTTTATTGCACCCAGCTGTCTGGCTGAATGGAAACGTTACTGACTGACCAGGTAAGGTCTTTAATGATTCATTATTTGCTTAAGTGTGACCCCAGACCCTCCAAGTGTGACCCCTAGCAGCGTCAAATATCTGTGCTATATCAGCTTTCTTTCTTTTACTGACCATGCAGAAAATCCTCTCCTCGTTTGTTTAGCTAATTCGAATGGCATTTTTCCCAGTCTCTTCCTCCTGAGCCAGTTTGTGCAACAGCTTAATGTCTCCAGCCCACTTTACTTAAAAAAAACAAAAACCTCAAAGCAGCTGTCCATCGGGCTCAGACCCTCCCCCAATGACAAAATCCTCCAATTTAAGCTTTTTAGTCCCTATTAGACAGTTTTGTCCCTTACTCTAATGCCCCCTATAAACTCCACACACACCATCACGTCATTGTGTGTAATAGACCCGCAGGTCCACTAGAGGGCACCCTGTCAGTGTCACTGTATGCCCCGCCAATGCGTCTAAAGTACATGCCTGTATGAAAGTGCAGTAGCAGCAGGGGACCGGACCAAAGAGAAACATACAGATACCCCCAACTCTTTTCCCTCCAGGTAAGATGAAGATATGTGGCTGATATATATATTTTTAAATGATAGATAGATAGATACTTTATTCATCCCCAAGGGGAAATTCACAGTTTCCAGCAGTATCCTCAGACTGGGATTAAACAGAAGATTTAAAATTTAAGGAGGCTTGCAAAGTACTATCATAACAACAGGAGGCAAAATGCTAAAGAACCAATAAAATCTATAGCAAAATAAGGAGCATTGGGTGAGTGGCCTAAGGTACATGGTTTAATACAGTGCTTGAAATGTATCACCCGCTTATGTAAAACTGTTTTAGGTTGCCAGTGAGTGTTGTCGTGTTAATTACATTTCATTTTGCAGTAGAAAGCCAAGGGTTATTAAGGTTAGATGAAGATTTAGGAGTTAGCTCTTTTAGCATTGAAAAAACTAATGTCTGCTAAAGTTGAGTAACATCAGGGTAAGCCTGGGTGGATGTAAAGTCAGACCAGTGTTTTAAGAAATCATCAGCATGACAGACAGGTTAGTGCTTGGACCCAATGGGATCTTTTTATCATTGTAGCACAGGTCACATTGGCCAGCGTTCATTTAAGGAACCCTTACTTTGCTTTAAACCAGTGGACCCCCAAGAATAACCAGGTTGGTGTTTATAGTGTTTATAGTCACTTTATCAAAGAATTCTGGGATTTGCATGTTGCACTCAGCCATATTGTGATTTCGATAATATTTCAATTAATTGTGCAGCCCTAATATGTATAAATATATAGCCTATAATAGATATGATAGTATCCCTTTAATGACATTATGGGACAATAATAAATAGCCTGTCTCTCATTCCACGCTGCTTGCCACATGTTGAGAACCACTGCTTTAACCTACCTCCAATGTTTGATGTGTGTGTGGACTGTGGAGCACTATAGGAGTTTTTTTCTTTAGTGCTTTTATTGTGGTCAGTAACATTAGGACTGTTTGATAATTGGCGAATGAATTCACCACAGCAGGCTGCAGGGACGGCATATTAATGCTAATAGGTTGATAAACAGTTGTTGCTATAGCGAGACGGGAAGTACATAAATCCCACTGCCTTGATAATGATGAAAGGCAATGCTCAGCAGGGCCTTTCTCTGGTCCAGTGTACAGTCTGTTCTATAGAGCATTCATGCAACAAGTTAATTAAGCTGCCACAAGCTTGCAGTAACAATACAGTTGAATTCAAAAGATCTTTATTGTCCACAAATCCCTACTGCCCTTTATTTAGCGAATATTTGGGCAGTTAACATGTTGAATATGACTGAATACAGATCATTTATCAAGTTGTTTGCATTATGCAGTAAGTCACACAGTTCTACATTTATAAAAGGAGCTGAAAGAGAAACAACCATTTTTTTGTTTTTCCTTTTCGCAAACAACTCCTGTTGTTCCCACTATCTCTGTCACCCCACCTACTGTATACTGTACACACTCACTCCGTCGTTCCTCTCTCTCAACCTCTTTGTCTTCCAGAAGCCCCACTGTCATCAGGTAAGCATTACTTTTCTGTTTTTAATCTCGTTTTCTCACTTACTTTCACTCAAACAAACCATGTGGTCTCTCTCATATGCGTGACAAACTGTGACACTGAGACGGTACCCTCTAGTGGTACACAGGAAAAACTATTAGCACTTGCTCAATGTATGATAGACAACTCACATTGTTGGAAAAACAGTGGACAACCGTGCACTCCTGCATGCACAGACAGAAAACAGTGCACATCATTAATGCAAGGTTGCATCCTCTAGTATCTACATTTTTCCACTGGTAATTTACCACACAGCTATTAATCTTAAGCAGTACTGCCATGTAAAAAACTTTTAAAGTTTAGTAAGATGATGAATTATCTAGCTTTAAACTAAATTTTAAAAAGCAAAAATCTTTGATAAATGTGAAGGAAAAATCAGAGGCCAGATGCATAAATGACCCCATCTTCACTTCAAGCGTCTTGGGCGGATTGGAAAGCTGTCTGATCTTGAAAAAGCAAAGTGTAAATGCACCCAAGAAGCATTGAAGACAGAGTGGAATCTGATGGCTCAAACCACCTCTGGGGGGCATTATTTGTGCCCATATCTTCCACATGAGCAAAGATCTGTGCCCACTGGAGCCCTTTATGTTGGCTGTATAGGAAGCTGGCTCAGTGGAATCATTCCCTCTTTTTGTTGTTGATAAATTAACAGTACTGGCTCTCGATCATAACATAAATGCTTGCTAAAAATCTCTCATAACAAATGTTGTTTGCCACATTCCTATAGCAATAACCCTGTAAGAGGACATTTTATAAACAATATGGTGGACAACATGTGGAGCATATATGGAATAATTCAATGTACATATTTTTTTATTGCTTTGTATTCTTTTAAGAAGCACCAACATGCAGAATAAATACATCACAGACAGAAAACAATCACAACAATAAAACTAATAACTCTTCAAGAAATGCACTATACACAGTGTACAAACGTGCTTTCACAGCCCAGCTAAGGTTTTATAAAAATATAAAAATATACAGTGGAGACAGCACATCAGGAACAATTATTATTTTGAATGGAACAGAAAACAGGAGGTATTTTTGAAAATATTGTGTGTCTATATAAATGACTGGCAATGTAATGTGATGTTTAACCTAGTACAGGTTACTGAGGAATTATTATGCTCTGTTGTCGTAATTATTAGTGATAGACATAATCACAAGGTCACAAGGCCGATAAACAAAAAATGTCTTCAGACACATCTGCAGGCAGCTCTCTCATTGTGGCTGCTGTGGAACGACGTTACAAAGAGTTCCCCTTTGTGAGTTCTGGGAATGTGGTGAAAGAGTTGGTTTCGACTTCTGCACTGTAAATACATCTTGCTGTCAACATATACCTGAATTTCCTATAGAACAGAATAGAACAGAAAAATACATGACTTTTCTTTCTATCAATATTGGCATTATGCACCAGCCATCGGCAGCCTATAAAATAGCTCTATGTACTGGCATTGGCCATTGAATATATATTATATATTATATTATATTATATATTATTATACATAATGTCTTACCCATACTTGATCAAATTAAATAAAACACAATAAAAATACATAAATGTTTGTAAAAAAAAAAAAAAAAGAAGAACCAAACCAAATGTTTTTCAGAGTGGCGAAAAAAAAGAGCCATGTGTAAATGGCCAGCAGCAGTAGGCCTATATGGTTTTTGGCCAGAAGATGTCACTATACAATAAGGAACAAATTACAGTCATCTGTAAAATGTACTGCCCACATACATGTTATATCTATATTTGATATCATATTGATTCATTTAACATAATCACTCTACCTCTTCCCTTACATTCTGGGTCTGTGAAATGAGACAATGCACAACTTTAAACCTGCATTCTTTCTACTGACAGCTCCACTGGTAGCAAAAAGAAGCGTGGTTGCATCAAAATGACCCTTAATTTTCCTTTAATTTCCCATTGTTGTTGTAATTTCAGAAACAAAGAAAGAAAGTACCTACCTACCTACCTACATTTATTAACTCAGTAAAAGTTTAAGCTTATAGTCTCAATCAGCAGCTTCAAGTTTTCTTTCATACAGCTTGATGTTCATTTAGTAAACTTGATCCCATTCTGAGTAAAACTGCCGATAAAGCAGGGTACCCTTTAGGGCGTGGCTACCATCATTTGATGTGCTACTGCACAGCTGAAAGTACAAGAATGGCCATCAGACCCACAGGCCAGAGAGGGAGGCTCCTCTTTGGGTCACCTGCAGGGAGATAGAAACAAACTGTTGACTGTGTTGGTTTATATCCTTTATACAGACATGTTCTGTGACTCTGCATGAATCATGTTGGAATCATGATGTTGCAAGTAATATCAAAAAGAGAACTACTTTTATTAGCTAGATTCTCACTGTTGAGCAACAGTCATAAAGCTCAGTGAAAGGCTTTATCTTGAAGAACAATCTGTACTTGAACTGTAGTGATGATGTAACAGTCCATAAAGAATTCAATGAATGAATCAATCAGTGTTTGTGGTTCGGTTGTAGTTAGTTGTGAATAAAAATTGACCATATTAGTTTAAAATAATAACATTCAATATCTCTGTTCCTCCAGCAGGTGTCAGCAGCACCAAATGATTGCTGGTCACTGTTAACACAATGCCACTTCCTGTAGGTCACTGTGAGTAAAGTACTTTATAAAAAGACGACACCAACATGGCTGTTGGTCTCATTTACACTGTAGTCAAACTTTAGAATTCATGTAATTTGCTTTATTTTCCCCTTAATTGATTTCTTAATAAATAATTAAAACCTCCAGTGATTATTTTCAATGGGTTACTTTTTAATGCATCGTAGCCATTTTAAAGTAACCTGTGACATTATTGAGCTTCTTCACATTATCACACACAGACTGCGCTTGCATGTACTAAATATTCTGGTTTTTATTCTGAAAAATATTCCTGTTAACATGCAGCTCTGCATTCTCAGTATTCTCTGTATGTCCTACAGAAGAATTCCCCTCTTTTTTCTCTAACTGCGGTCATGTTGCTCCTGTGGTAAAAGTGGAACAGCTGGAGCTGTTTGGGTCATTTGGCCTCTTTTCTACCGGTGGCGGACATGTTCAACGGAACAAACACATCCATGAACCTACTGATATCCAAGCCTTTCACAAAGTATAAAAGCAGGTGTGTTTCTCCTTCCGATCAGAAACGTGGAGTTTTATTTTCTACTCCAGCCTTGTTGTGTTGGCTAGTTGGTTAGTTAACAACGCACAGAGCTGACCGTAAACAGGCAAGAAGCAGCGTGTCGCAAACTGCGGTAAAAACTGCAAATGAGACACATATTCCAAACACGCTGTATACAGAACATGTTCAAAGAATGTTCCTAAATCACTTATCACTAACATCGGCAACATACCGTATGTCTTTATCGGAAAATGCTCCATTCGGAATAAGGAATAGGAATAACCAAACAGAATATCCTTTAAAGGACTGCTTTTAACATGATGCTTATTTAATGCGAGTATTCAAAGGAAACTTCCATTTCTTTTTCAACATCCTAAAAGGTTTTTTGTTTGTTTTTTTACAGTTTTTGTGTTTAGTCATTCTTGCATTTTACTCTCTAATTTAATAGTTGAGATCTGGGGATGCAGCATCAGTAAAACAGAGTTTGGTGGTACAACACTGGTCGTTAACAAGGTGCCATAAGCTTTAGCCTGTTATACGAAACTCCAGTAGTCAAAAATGTAATGCTGAACTGTAAAACCATTTATCCGAAAGCCTGTTGTTCCAAAAACAAACCACCTTTGCTCCAAAGGCTCAAAAATACACATGGTTATGTATACATAAGTTGGTTATACCAATGATATTTTCCTTCCCAACACACTCAAAAAATCCAGGGAGAGAGTGTGTTTTCTGTATAATGGGATAACTATTAACTCTTTTAACTTACCTCTGTTTAAAACGTGGGTGGTGCTCACAGTCACATTAAGGATAGGATTGTGGAAGAGGCAGGTCACAGATCGATATCGACCTTCAGGGATATCTACAGCACTCTTCAATCTGTATTGATGATCTTGATTGTCCTGCACTGCCGTAGTGTGAACATCCCTCGGATCGGGAACGTGTTGGGAGTTGTTGGAGAGGTACTGGAGTCTCCACTTCACCAAAGGCTCAGGGAATCCTTGTGTAGTGCAGACGGCAGTCATCGTTTCTTCATTTAGAGCCAGGCTGACGTTCGTGTAAGGAACTGCAAGTAAGAGAGAAAGGTCAATGATAAAACCACATTTTGAGAAATAGTGTTTGGGAAGATTGATAGCACTCTTCCTCTTAATATGAAATTAGAGACAGCAGTTGGTTAGCTCAGCATAGCAGACAAGAAAGCTAGGACAGAGCCATGCTAACCCAACTGCTAGCTGTAGCTTCACATTTAACAAATAGATATGAAAGTAGTTTTCATCTAACAATTATTGATTTTTTAAAAAAGTGCAATCTCCGTCCTTACCTGCAACATGTAAAGTGTGTTTGCAGAGTTGTCTGTGTTCTGGGTTGTATCTCCTCGACCCTCTGCTGTCAAACACTGCAGCAACAACCTGGAAAACTCTTCGGTCATCTTCGAGGGTTGGGTTTTTTATTTTGACTGAAATATTTCCTGTTGTCATTTCCTGAGGGAAGGCTGTGATCCTGTCTCGATAAAGTTTGTCTACGTGGTCTGGCACCTCCTTTCCTTTATTATAAGAGAATAAAACACGATTTCTTTCGTCTTGCCAGTAAAAGCGTAGGTCCTTTAAGTCAATTGGAGCTGTGGTCGTCAGGGTACAGGGGAGCAGGGCTGATTCACCGGCAGCAGTGTTGACATCGAGCCCCACTGTTACATCAGACACTGTCACAGAAAGCAAAAGCATTGTTGTTAACGGTGTCTGTTCCTGTTTATTTAAGATTACATTCCTGTAGTTCCAAACCTAAAGGTATAAAAATGCCATAGATCACAATACTACGGTGTCAGTTTTCTGTCAAGTACACGTACACACACACACACACACACACACACACACACACACACACACACTCAATGACTGGAAGATCAGCACTACAGAATAATATAAAAATGCAGAAAACTTACCTAACAGGACAAAGAATGCCACAGTGAACATTGTTGAGAAAATGAGTTTGTTGTTGTTGCTGAACTCCGGTGAGGAGAACAATTTGCTTAAAGCACGCTGGCCGACCCTGATGTGCTTATGATTGTGAAGTGAAACTATCCGATTTCCAGTTAATCAGCTGACACAGCATTTATGCTGACCAGTTATTTATATTCCTAATAATTCGACTAAATGACGCATTTCCTTTGGAACGTGACGTGTTTTTGTTTTTTTGCAGTTCTGGTCACATCATTGTGTTTAGTTGTTCAGTAGTCAGAAATGTCCTGCTGAACTGTAAACTGTATCCAACTGGTGTGTGAGTATGAAGTCAGTTTGGCTGTACTCACGTATGCTTGCTGAGGAAGGCACAGATCCAACTACGCTAACCTGAAGTCATCTGAGGATCCAAAGCAGTTCTAAGAGTCACAGTTGGACAGTCACAAAAACTATGAAGAAAAGGTTTTGAAGACAAAATACAGTGACCTGCAGTTTCTCCACTTAGAGTGCTCTTAATAACTGTGGAACTCCCCGTTCATTTTCTCTGTGTCAGTGCTCTCTGCTCAGTTGCTATCCTGTTGTCTCAGACCTGCTCTCAGAGAGTGGTTTTATCTGCTCTTCTACTTCCTTCTCAGCACATTAAGATTCTCTCTGGGTATTCCCGATGTTACTTTTTTTTTTTTCATTTCTCCGACCACAAGTTTGCCTGCCTCGCCCTCAGATTATTGATTGAGTTTATGTTGCTGAGCATGAAAGGTTGCATTCATACTAAGATTCTGGTTGGACTTTTTGATTTGAATTATACTTCCAGCTGGCTGAGGCTAAATGGTGGACAGGTGAGTGCTTGTTTTGATTTTGATTGTAATAATGTCTTATGATTCTTTCACAGTGTTATGGTTTAATTCGCTGCAACTGTCTGTCAATGTTAAATATTTTAGTCAGTTGTTGACTCAAGCACACTCTTATTTTCATTCAGATCAGTGTGTAGGAGTAAATATCCATAGTCAAGACGAGAATTCCAGCACAGTGTCCTTAAACTTTATTCAAGATAAAACATTTCAGTGCTTAGTCCTTCATCAGGTAAAGCAAAGGTACAAACAGCATTCCAGACACATATATCCAAATTGGCTTCATTTCACTTCACAGACAGTCTCTCTGTCCATTGTATATACTGTCAGTGTGACTGCTTGAAATTTACAAACCCATTTCTGACTTTAGAACATGTAACAGTTTGGGTCTGTGTTTCTTGGTTGAGCAACTGTTAATTTGGAGAGAGTGGAAGAAGGCAACAGGCGTGGTTTCCACGGGAGTGTGCCTATGTTCCCACATTTCTAAGATTTTTTTCCAAAATTAGGACTTATGTTCCCACATTTCCTTTTTCATAAATTTGTGGCAGATTTGATCCCTCTTCTCCCAATTTGGTTGGCAATTACACCCAACCTATTCCCTTACCATAACCCTAACCCTAACCCACTGTAAGACCTAATTTTGAAAATGTCCTAGAAATGTGGGAACATAGGGCTGTGGGAACATCGGGCTGACCCCATTTCCACAATACTCGTAATTTATTTCTAACACATCAACGTTACCGAGCCCGGTTGTACAGCTGCTATTTTATCACACATGAACAAAACAGAGAACACACGTAGCCCAAACATTACTGTTGAGTTGAGAGGCAAAAGGTAAACAGGAGCTCAGCCACAGGCATCCATTCACAGCAGGTGTACCGCTCAACTAACTCAAGACAGGTTAAGCGCTGTCTGATGACGCTTCTCTTGTATCTAGTCAACAGAGTCTTTTAAAGCTACATTTCACAATTTTGGCTGTTACAAGCCAAAGCTGGCATATTTGCTCGTCACTTTCTAATCAGCTTGTTGTTTCATCTCCATTTTAACTTTTTCCCTTCCTTCACTTCTGCATCAGCAGCAGCAACAGTATGGTCCACATCGGTCACGCTGTCTGCAACACCATCAGCTTCACTTTCTGCCATCAGGGCCATGTTCTTCTCTATCTGCTGCTGGTGTGCTCCTTGTTTACGTTGGACACAGTCTTCTATCAGGAATTAAAGAGAAATGTTTCAGTCATGATAAAAACCCCAGCAGTGTAGTGCTCCAGGTATTGATGGCAACGTATTTATTGTTCTTAATATATTTACTAATAATGACTACAGCAGCAAACACCTATAGTAGTTTGTACATGTGCAGAAAACAGTTTTCATCACCACAATAGCATCACCACAAGATACAATCATGAAACCTTAGTTGAGATCAAAATAAAGGCCGCATTCGATAATAAACTAGTAATTACTACATTATTACACTCATGTACTCGTGTAATAATGTAATGTAATGGCTACTGATGGGTCAGAACATATTCACAGACGTTGTGGCTGGTGTGATCCCATCACAGCACGGTCTCTAGTTTGCTTTGTTGTCAATCCTTCAACATGAGGGGAAACAGATTCTAAACATTAAAGCAGACCTTTTAAATTTGACGATGGAAGATTATTTTCTACCTCTAGGGACAGTAAATGCAACAAAATAGTTGAAGGTTTTAATTGCATGAGCTGGCTGTACTGAGTCACACCAAAACAAAGCACCAGTTAAAACTACATTTACAAAAGAGAATGAACTAAGATCACTCACATAATATGGCATCAACGATGAAGATGGCAAGAAGTACACTAGCCAAATGATGGTCCCAATGCTGGCCCACACCTGTGAATTAACAGAGGAAGGAATGATTTGACATGCTGCCCCAATACGAATCATGTTTTAGACTAGAGATGAAACAATATGAACATTTCCGATCATGATTCCAGTGACCAAAATCCCTATTTTCATTGACAGAAAACAAACCCACAATGCATTCTGCGGGTGTGCACCTGTGTCTGGCCCCCTTTATTTGATGCTGGACAGTTTTTAATGTGCAGTAATGCAGCTGCCCAAATCTTAAATCAATCAACTGAAACTGAAAATAATTAAATTAAAGTTTTGTGTATTAATAATGTTTATACAGATTGTGAGTAACTGAGTGTGACTTGAGCTGTAAGAGTACTACCTCATTAACTTATATTAATGATCTGCTGCTCTCACCAGAATCACTGATCTCTGCAGTTCCTTTAATCCTCTGGTTGGTGCGAGGGTTGAAGATGATGCAGGTTACAGACTGGAACTCCTTCATACTGACAGAGCTTGTGACTGAGAAGGTTTTCTCTGTTGGATCCTGCTGCAGGGACGTCTCAGCATCCTGCAGGTCCAGCTGTGCAGTGCTGGATTTGTTTCGACCTGTCCATGACACTTTAGGTTCAGGGTATCCTCCATGTGCTGTGCAGGTTGCTCTGTTAGCTGTGTTGTTAACAGTCAGGACTAGATGTTGGTAGGGAGCTGTGAGAGTGACAGAAAGAACAACTGTTGACACACTGGAGACATTCACAGCACTTTGATATGAGGAGATTTTTATTTTGGTTTGGAATAAAGAATCTACTGTACTCACCTGAAACCTGCAGTGTTGATTTGCAACGTTGTTCAGAAGGTTTGGGGACGTTTTTCTCGTCGATTAAACGTACATAGACCCAGAATGTTTTGTTGTCATCTCCAACAGTAACATTGTCAAGTCTAAAGGAAATATTTCCAGAACTTAACTCAGTACTGAAGACTTGGCATCTGTCCCTGTATTCGTCGGCAGCTGGCTGTGTTTGCCCATTTTGGTCCCAGTGAAACAAAATGTTCTTGGACTGGTCCTCCTGCCAGTAAAACCATTTGGGATTCCCTGGTAGGGAACAGGGGATCAGGACGGAGCCTCTAACAGTGGCATTGAGAAGCTGCACCTGACCCATGATGGGTGCTAGACAAGAAAACAGAAATATTTTCAGAAACAGGCAGTGAGTGAAACCAACAATTCACTGTTGGATGGCTGAGTACAGCAGAAGTTGAGTGTGCATGTGTACTGTTAGCTAAAGGAGTTTATATATTTGTTATAGTTTGGTAGTGCACTGGATATTTTACCAACTTTTGTGTTTAACGATATTCTGTGCCACACTGAAAGTGTCGGGAATGGAAAATGTGCTATGAGTATGACAGACACACGTTCATTTTAAAGAACAGCTGTAGATACATTTTCATAAATCATAACAATATAACCACATTGGTTTACATTTTGACAGCATACAGAACACCAGTTGCTATAATTTTAAATTCTTACAATGACATGCAATCTTGTAATTTACCAGTAACAGTAACCCACCACCTTACACACACACACACACACACACACACACACACACACACACACACACACACACACTCCTAATGCCATACTCTTATTCCACAGGCAGCATATGAGGAGGGCATGATGAGCCACTTCCTCCAAATTATTGAAAACAAAAGTGTCAACCTCTGTGTTCGTCCTGAGTGATTGGACTATTTTCAGCCAGATCAGATTAGTGCCTCAGTTCTCTAGCAACTTTAAAGCAGTAATAAAACATGAAGCAAAAATAATAGAAAATAGAGATACAGTAGAAATACATACAAATACAATAAGTTTGATTAAATAGGAAAAATTCAAATGGAAAACAATACAAATAAATAAATATACTTCAGAGTCCTAGGGCACTTCTCTTTTCTAGTTGTCTTTTTGAACAA